CCAGTGCTGTGGCGCTGCAATCTTTGGCTATGTCTTGGGCTACTCAAATATTTTACGTTTTTGATACTAAATTAATTTCTGAAGTATAATTTTTTATTGTTTTTATATTTTTCAATATATTTATTTTGTTCGTACAAAATAAAAAATAATTTTTAACGATACAATAGTCTTAGTTAGGCTTAACATCGACGAAAATTCAACGCGAAGCGACACGCAACGGAAAAAAATGTCAAGATGGGATAAATTAATATATTCTTTCGTACACAATTGGTTATCCGAAACATCGATCTTCCGAACAACCCCAGTCCTCAATTGATTCGGTTAATCGACGCTCTACTGTACTCTCTTAAAATAGGATGAATTCTTTCACTCTATGTTTCATTCTTTAAAGGAACATTATTAATGAGGACATTTTGGAGAAGATGAGTCTATGCAATAATTTGGAGGATGATTTACGGTTTTAATATTAATTTTTCTTTGCTTTTTTTAGATTATCTACAGAGCGAATTCTGTATGATATTGTATCCTGGGTTTTCCAGTTAGATAAATTCATTTCACGATGGACTGGGCTTAGATTTAACATGGCGTGATCTTCTCGAAGTCCAGCTTTAAGATGTTATTTGGATTATTTTGAATGACAATTTCTCAACTTTATCTTACAACAATAGAAAATCTACAAATAGTTATTAGGGATTGCTTCAATGATTTCCAATCATCAACATGAAACATGTCTCGAAGAATATGGGGAAAAATTAAAATTAATATATTGTACGCGACATGAAAATCTCGAGATACTTATGAATCTTTTCTCATTAATCCGAATGAGATCCAATGAGTTATAAATCAGTTTATGTAGCTTGAACTCGTAGTATGCATAGAGAGACCGGGGTTAGTTGTTACAGAGGCGAAATAATGGACTTTTAACATTTTCTGCTAGGTTTAGCCCCTCGTTATCCACAGAGCACATGACTTGAGCCACAGTTGAACAAGTGTACTTCACGTGCAGTTTGGGATTTGTAATGGTAAGTGAGATAAAGTTGTGAGGTTTTTTCATTTTATGTTTTTCGGTTGTGTTTCCTGTGTGATTTTGGCTTGAATATCTGAAAGTATGTTCCCGTTAAGCCCGTTTTTTTACATATGTATATATATAATATTTATCTTTAATTTCACATTTGTTTGCTTATTTTATCGGCAAGGTTATCGCAAGGTGACTTTAGCGGTAAGGCCAACGGGGCACAATGTTACATTATAACTTACTCCACACTTGACATGTCATTGTTTTCGATTTAAAAAAATGTTATAAACATAAGAGAAAACTTATAAAAGATCATTAGATGAAGAAGTATATGCTTAACAAAGGATGTTAAGGAAAGAAAATTAGCCCCGGTCTCTCCTACATCACTACTGATACACTTACACGAGATGTGGCCATTTGTAATAAATGTGAAATAATAATTTTATAGATTCAATTAATGAATCGCTTGAAATATACTACACGAGTAGTAAAATCGGACAAAAAAAATTAAATTTTTCTAATTACAGAATTAATTGATAAATTAAATCTCAACAAAATGAAACTGTTCAAGAAAGAAATTTATAAAATTACTAAATAACCGAGAGGCATTTACAAAAGTTAATTGTAATACAGATAATATTGTAATTGATAAAATATATTGTAGTTTAGGTTACGTGTATTGAGAATTGCTACAAAGAAAGGCAAAGATAATTAATATACCTTTAAAATATCCAAAATGCTCTTTATATTAGTTGTGATCGGTTTAAAAAACTGTTCTCTGTTCTACAGTACCAAAACAATTAAATTCAATAAATACAACAGTAGATGACGTCAATATTTGTAATACTCGCATCCAGATAAATCGGTTTTAATCACGTAAATAAATAACTTTCGGTTTTGTTTCCAATTTATATAAAAATAAATGAAACTATAGTCATAATTCATGTAATTTTCTGTTTTATGTTCTAGTCTGATTGACCCGCGTGTAGACCCATCGATTTGTTTCGGTTATGATTTATTTTCTTGTTTATTTATTAATTGATCCATTTTTTCTTATATTATTTAATTACTGTGTAAACAATCTTATCTGTTGATATGTTATATGTGGTGATTATAAACAAATTCAATAAGTTTGCATGCGTAACCGTTAGAAGTACACTATAAGCAACAGATAAAACTTCATTTTTTGCTAAATCTCATAGCTGTTATGGACTTCAATTATGAGAGGTGTGACACACAGTTAATTTTTTTCCCATTGTCTCTATTTTCGATCAATTAAAAGACTGAAAATAAATAAAAATTGATTTTTTTAATGTACAACTTTAGGGCCTAGAGGACATGCAATTGTCAGTTACGAAACAGTTTGATTGTGTGAGTCACTGTCAGGGGTTTATCTGACAGCGCGCGCATGCAACTGATATGCAATTGTAAATCTGGTCGACTAAAAAATTTAGATTTTGAAAAGTAATCGATTGAACAATTTTGATGGGGTCACACGCAGTTGGATGAGAACGATCTGCAAGTCCTTAAAGCAACTGAAAGGTTTTCTACTGGAGGCACGGGTGGATCTACATATGGACTAATTGGCCTTACCTGGGGCCCCCGACTGTCGAGAGCCCACAAAAATTGAATTATTATTATAAATTTTTGATACTTTTTCATTAACAATTAGCCTTTATCGTATAGTAAAAAATAGTTAATAGGTTAAGTAAAAATGGGACTCCATTGAACTTCGATAAGTTCTAGGCTCCGAAAAACCTAGATCCGGTTTTTGGAGGAATGGCTTTCCTATTTGTAAGTGATGTAAGACCGTATAAGACCAAACAGTTTACTAAAACTCTCAATACTCATGCGATAATAATTAATTAAAAGACTTTTTCGGATAGTTTACAAAGCGGCGCTTTCACCAAACGTTGAGCCGTTATTGGGTGCACCCATTATTGCTTATTTCTTCTCATTTTCTTCTTTCTTCTCAGTACAAGGGCACACAGTAACCAACTCGTAGGAATCCATGTTGAAACTGTGCAATTTAGCTGCATGCGTATGAGTTTATCCGTTGGCGGATTCGAAAATGACAATTGCCTGATCCAAAACTATATATAAAAACTTGAGGAAATGTTTTTTTTTTTTGCCTTATTCTTTGTTTCCATATTCGATGCAATGGCCTATGCAGAAAAATAAAACACTTCTTTAAATATAGGTCTACGTAAAAGTGTCCTCGATATATGTATCTAACCTGGAGACGGAATATAGGTCCTAATCGTCCATACTCTCGCTAAGTTAGAAGCTTCGATAAAGATGTTTTTTTGTACAAATATATTCATAATACAATAAGGAAACGTCATCTTTTCTGCTTAGTCAAAAGTCCACTTCTGTTAGACTTTGCATTTCCGCTGAAGTGTGTTGAAAATCGTTGAACGACTTTAGTTGACATACCGTTAGAATGCGATTACGTACTTGCTTTGACGTGATAAACACAGAAGTTAGCTGCTATTTATCCTTTGTTAAAACAAGAACAATAGCTAACATATACTCGATATAATAAAATTATTTGAGTGAAGAATTAAATACATAGGTCTAAGATATATCCATCTATTATTTCAGGAGACAATAATGTGCAATTTTTCTTCGTATAAAGCCGGCTAAACACTTACCGGTATATATGAACAGGACAGGCGAGCGCAGTATATTTACACATTATAAATAAATATATATATATATACATTTATTTATTATTTATTTATTATTATATATGTATATATATATTATCTTATCTACATATATATTTATCTACATATATATCATTATATATAGGCCTATATCTTATCTACAGAAAGGAACCTTTCGATATAGGGATGCATCCTACTTCCGCTTTCTGTCTGAATGATCTCATCAACATCCAAATCCTCATCTGTATATCATTTACATAGAAGAAATAGTATTTAATTTAATACATAAAATTAATCACTGTTTAATAAGCTGAAAATCGTAAAACAGGTCTACTTATTCGCACCTTGATATCACTATAAATTTTAATTTTTTTGGTGAACATAATGTGTGGCTCGATCAGTCACAAACGGTCATCCGATGGGGCCTATCCGCATCGGATTTAGACTTCATAAGGGGGTTTTCACCCTTCAAGTAATTATGTAAGAATGTGGTTTTAAACTGTACTCACGTAGCGTGAGGCAATTAATTTATGTGTAAACCGGCCTACCCCTTCGAAAAGATAGGAATTTTCACCACTTATTGCTCTTTTGTTAATTAGGGCCTCCGTGTTTGAGGCCTGTCCAAGTAGTCCTGCTCGTAGCTCCTCTACGTGGATCTGATTAGAGTAAACATGGCTATTTAATTGTATATTAGTTTATTAAAATTACATATGGGGAGTGTTTATGTTGTTTAACCACTTGTTTCATCCTCGTGCAAGCTCGAGCTTAGCACGTGTAAAAAAATGCTAATATCTAATAGTATATTAGCATATTAGCATACTCATAAAACACAGCAATTGAGAATCAATTGAGAATGCATATTAACACGTGCCATTTAATATGACACTTCACCCGAAAATACAATATATTTAATTTTTGCATTAAAATTATTTTAATTAATTAACGAGCCAAAACAATATAAATTGTTTTATCTGATCGGCATATTTGAAACTTGAAATCAAAGCCGCCATATTGGAAATCTATTTCCAATATGGCGGCTTTGATTCCAGATAAGTTATTGCATCTTAAGATTAAATTTAAGCGAAGAAATTGTTAAAATAAGCTATAAAATCGTAATATTTTATTCAATTTTGTTCTAAAATTAGTTTCTTGGAAAAGA